AGAAAGCCCACCAGCTCAATCTGAAGGCTCGATTCGGCTATGCTGAGCCTGCAAATTCTTACCCTTTGCTGACTTGGAGACGGCGGATTGTTTTGTCAAGTACTACGCGTTTAACAGTAATAAAATTGTTGAACGGAAGAAGGGCGGTGGAGAAACTCATATCAAGTGGTTGTGCTCCGAGCACAAAACTGGTTGTCCATGGCTCATTGCTTTGTCGCGCAAACGACCATCAAGAATTACAGACACAGCAAGCAAAAAACAGCGAAAGCCGCCTACAACAAAACTTTCGCATGTTCCAATTGGATCGTGGTATATCTCAAAAATGAAGATACACCACGGTCAACTCTGTCCCGGTGTGGCGGTAATGACAACTGAATTTTATTAGAGCATCCGAGTTTTTGTGGAGCAATTCTAGATGGACACAGTACGTTACTGGCACGGGTGGCGAACAACATGAGTTAAATTTACGGTATTGATAATTCGAAGCAGCCCGCGATGGCTTATCGTACTATTTCACAAGCTAAGAACAACGTCAAAATTGATCCTGTAGCTGAGTATGGTTAACTTTCTTCGTTTTTGAACGTCTTCGCCAGTAAAAAGCCTGGTTCCCGGTATGTTGTCAACTCGACTCACAAGGCAGATTTTATCGGGCTTTCGTCGCTACCGCCAGTATTGTGAACGTTCAGGACGCATTGCTACCTGTTTTTGAGTGCGACGGTGCGCATACGAAAGACCCGTTATACAATCGCATTTGCCAGACTATCATTGGTAAAGACGGTAACAAGCAAAGCATCCCGATTGCAATAGCCTACATGTACAAGGAGACCGTCGACAATTTTGCATGTTTTTTTTTGCAATCCGTTGTCGCTGGCATGAATATGCACATCTGTCCTTCCTTTTGTGACAAGGTAAACAATTATTTGCTCAAGCGCTATCGCTACGCCTCGGCATAAAAGCACATCTGAAATTCTGTACAGTGCACATTAGATTCAACGTGATGGACGAGTTCAAGTCTCTGTAGTTAAACTTACAGTCCGTAAAGAACGACATTATGGCGCTTTAAGGTGCTTCGACGTTTGAAGGATATGATCACATCAAAACAAGGATTGCGGTGCAGTACCCTAAAGGAACTTCGAAATTTGTTGCAGATGAAGTCGTTGAAGAACATCTATAAAATTACCTTTGAGGTATACATTCCAAAGATTGGTGCGTCGTCGGAAATATGAAAACAACACCTGGAGAAACCAAGTGGCTTACGGAGAACTTAAACATGGTGACAGGCTGCCGATGTTTGCTATTCGCACAACTAGCGCGATTGAAGGAGAGAAGAACGGTCTCGTATGGGGCCGAGTGCGAAATCTAGGATCGCTGATGTCTTACTGTACATGAGCTCTCAAAGTTATTTTGAAGCGTAAAGAGCTTGTCAAAGTTGGAAGGCTGTAAATTGTGACGTCACTACTCACGCTTTGAAGGCGTTTAATAAGGAAAAGGTTCTGGTTGCTCACCAGACCGTTGTGCAAGGAGAACAATCAATTTTCTACGTCTTTGACACTTTCAATAACCGCAGTGTTGGTGGAGACGCTCATCTCTATGAAGTCAACATGGCCTGTGGCTCATGCACGCGTTGTACTGCTTCAGAGCAGTTGCAAATTCCTTGTCGTCATATGAAGGCAGTAGTTTATTGGAGATCCAAGCAGAAGAACAGTGAGCTTCCAACCTATAACGTCAAACGATACTTCCACCATGCGTACACAGTTTCGAAATATTGGGAGGCGCTAGAGAAAATTACGATCCGGCTTCCTCTTTATGATGATCTCGAACAGACAGATCAAATCAAACCTCCACCCCTGTACCGTCAAGCCGGGTGTTCATTCAAGCGATCGAAAGAAGCCGCAGACTTCACAAAAGGACTGAAAAGAACACAGAACCGTAGTGAATGTGCTGGTTCTTTTATTCCGAATATGCGTACACATTCAAATGAAGAGCTTCCTTCGGATGCTGACTGCCATGTCGAGAGTAAGGCAATAGCAGAGTTATTCAGCGCGCAGGTGAAGGGGGCCAGCGCGCTCAAACGGGAGCCGTACCCATGCAGCCGTTGCAACCAGACTGGCCACTACGTTTGAAGATGCACGACACCTCTAGCAAAAGTAGAAGAAGTGAGTGCCGGAATTGTACCAGGCATGTACGTCGTTGGTGAATGCCCTTTTACTGCCTGCGGAAAACATGCTGAGTACAAGAAAGAGAGCAGAAACTAAGCTGAAGATAGTAGATACTCCTTAATGCATTATAAGAGTATTATCTTACTGTTGAAGCAGTAGGGAGATATTCTGTTAATAATCAGAAAGGTTGAGGATGAACGAGCTCAGATCATCAAAACGTTTTTCTTATTATAATACTGACCTTGATTACGCAACCCGAGTGAGCTTCAAGAACAGCCCAACAGCTTCATCATGAGCACATATCTAGGGTAGGAAGCAAAGAATTTGTGTTCAGTATTTGCTGATGATCAAGAAGAGTAAATTCTAGTGCGCAGAATTTTACAGAGAGGTCAGTGATAAGTAATTGAGACAAATAGATAGCGAAATGGCTGGAATACCTTCGAGTGCGAGTGAGTTTACAACTCAATTGGGATAAGCTCACCATGACTATGCTCATATCGACTACGTAACCAGCACTTTCATCGTTTACATACACTGCATTTCCATAACAATGAATCAAGCGTCAACATTGAAAATGTCAGCGATATTCACTAAATAGACACATACCTGCACTCTCGCATTGACCGAGTAGCTGGTACCAAGCGCGTCTTGATATGATAAGCGCCTGTTACCACAAAAGCAATCGACATCGTTAGAGCATGCAAAATATAATCTGTCTACGCGTGGCAACCTTCAAGATCTCACTGCTATATTCCCAGCAGAAGCTACCGTCGTGTGCCTTACCGGAAGAGTTGGGGCGCGCTTGTGGTGGCATAGCGGCCGTGGCGGGACATGCGTCGACGTTTACTAGATGCTTAGCTTCTTGGTTCTGCAAAATGAATAAGTTATAAATTTTAAATCAATTACTTCATATGTATCTGCTTCTAATAAATTGCTCGTTCTTGTATCTTCATCTTGATAAATACCCCTCCAATACATGTATGACGGTTTCTGTTTGTGGTCGATTGCTCGAGAGCCAGAGCTCGCCCATAACATAAAATCGCCGACCTCCGACAACCTCCGACCGTAACAAAAATGTGGTTCATCAGTCGCCGGTATCTCTATATTCAGATTATCTACTTGTTAAAGATATGCATGTACAGACAACTCCGGCTATAGTGGAGATGTTTGGACTGTGACTCAGATAGCTCTCTTATAAATGTTTCGCAGTTGTAAGCGAAAAGCTATTATATGTCATCGAAACCTACGATGTTTCATAAAAAAGCGGTAATAGACGTTTGGCATTTAGAGGTGATAGCCATCGTCCTGCAGACATCGACAACCTTTTGCACTCAGTAATCCTGATAACCATGAGCAAACATGAATACCTGTAGTTTTTGCGCTGCTGCCGAAGCCTCCGCGTGTGAAAATGATGTCTCTTCGGCTTCATCACTGGAGCCATCACTCGATGACTCCAAGCTTGCGTCTTCGCTGTCCAAACTCTCTTTGATGTTGTCATCGATGACAATGTAGCTTGACACACTCATTGCATCGTCGAACGTCAATCTTGATATAAGCACGTCGAGATCGCTAATCTCTGCCTCGCGGGAAGGCTCGCTGCCGTGCTCAACACTCGAGCCCATGCTTCCTGGTACAATTCTTGTGTGCCACCAACAGTGACGGATTGTCGCTTCCGACACCGCTATCCACGCATCTACCACGAACTTGATTGATGTTAGCAAGTCCAGCTTCTTTTGGGCGCCGTATTGCTCAATGCCCTACTGCACAAACAACCTTTTGTATTTGAGCTTGAAGTTTCGGATAATACTGGTTGTAAGTGCGATGTCGTGTTTTTCGGGGAAAGGTGAATGCGAACGTTATTCAGCTCAATTTCTGCATGGCCCGGATCATTGTCTACAAGCAGAAGTATTTTGCGTCCGTGCATCTTCCGATTTATCGCTCGCACCCACACCAGAAATACTTTGGTCGTCATCCATGCTTTGGTGTTCGAAAAATATTTAATCGGGATATCATTGATGTTAAACCCTCGAAAGCACCGCGGTTTCGCAGCTCTGTTGATCACAATTGGCTCCAGCTTCTCGGTCCCAGTTAGGTGACAGCACAAGCCAATGCTAATTCTTGATTTGTCCTTTTTTCTTCCTGCGATCGCTCTAGTCGCTAGTGTTTGACTCGGCAGCATCCTATAAAACAACGCCGTTTCATCCATGTTGAAGATGTCGTGCGGGTTGTACTGATTAAGCAGCTTCATTAGAACCGTACGCTGTTTGCCAAGATTTGCAGTGTCAACCGACCCTGCTTCGCCATGCATGGTATGCAGGGAAACGCCATGGCGGGCTTTAAACCTCTGAATCCAGGACATCGTAACGACCTCCTCCCCCACTAGCTGGTTAGCCTTCGCTTGCAGAACGCCGTCAGACAGCAGACCATGGCTCTCTTGGTTATGGACAAAGTCCAGAAGTTGGGGCTCGATTGCCGCATGCTGCACTTTGCGTTTTTCTTGATATTGCCGTCAGGTGTCGCATCAAGAGGCTGGTTTACAATTTTCCCGACAGTCGAAACACCAATCCTCTTCTTGAGACGTGTAGCCACCCACTGCTGGAGATCGATGTGCTACAGACTGGGGTTGGCGAGATGGTGACGACGCAGCTCGTTCTTCTCGTAGACCGTGAGGTGTTGGCGGGCTGAAACCATTGTCTGCGTTCGAGTTTTAAAGTGAGTCACGTGGCCCACTCTCTTATTGCCGCTCTCTTACACTCGAACAGCCTTATAGCCGGATTGACTTCATTTTATTAAAGCCTCCATTTTGGTCTGGTCTTTACCGCTCTTACACTCAAACTTCTCTTATATCCGGCGCCACTTTAGACGGAGTTGTCTGTATAATTGAAAAGTGCACTTATAAGTTAAAAAAAGAGAGGGAGAGATCGTTCGCGAGAGCGAGCCAGTGGAGTGGCGGCAATGGTGGCGAGCTAGAGTGGAAGAGGCAAGAGGGAGGAGAGCGAATGAGGTGGTGAGCAAGAGTGGAGACGCCTGCGACAGGGAAAGGGAGGTGTGCGGGTGGCGGATGCAGCGACAACGGTGGCAGCGGGGTGGCGGTAGCGGGTGAATGGTGTGGATAGCCGGTACGGTGAGGTGGCGCTGCTGTCGATGGCTGAGCTGGACGTGGTCGATCCGTTGTTTGACAGCGCTGCCGTGTGGTTTGTTTTCCGGTCCGTGGACGCGAAAATCCACGGACGCGCCATTGAGCGGACCCATGTTCGACGGGCGTGAGAAACAACGTACAGGTGCGCTAACAGTAGCATAGCGAGTGCGATATGGCGCCACTGGCGTCAAATGGGTCGACTTACGGGGTTGCAGCACGGTGGCGTTGCTTTCGGGTGTATCCGTGCTGTTGTCCGGAACACGGTGGAGCGGTTGGATGTGTTGCATCAGTTGGCGATCTCGTGGCGGTGTCGCGACCTGGACCTGGCCGTGGGGCTATACTGTGCAGTCTGTACACGATGCTGTCAGTGAGCGGGACGGGCTCGATGCAGGTGATGCGACTGGCTATTACTGCATTTCGTTAGTATTGCTGAGCTGTCCGTACAGAGCGTGATCGTGGCTGCGGCGGAGACAAGATGGCGATCGTGGAGGTGGAGACTCCTGAGGTCAGGAAGGCTGAGTTGTGGAGCAGCGTGGCGCTGCTCCAGCTGGAAGCGCTCCGTAGGATGAGGATACGCTTTCGGAGCCGGCGCCAAGGTCAACGTAGCCATGAGCAGTAGTAGAATGGTGAGCATGCTGAGGGACAGGAGAATGCTGGCGCCGTGGTGCTATTGAGTTTAATTAATACATAACGCGTGGAATTGATGTATGCTATCTACTGCTTTGGATATTTAGTGTACTACTACTAGTATATAATTCTACAATAGTAATAATTCTTAATCCGTATCCTACCACAGGCTGCTGCATGTATTGTAATGACGAAGCGAGTTCGCTAACGCTGCACTGTCTGCCAGCTGTAGAGACGTATTTAGCGCTCGAGAATTTGTATAGCAGTAAGCAAGCTGTAGACGGAAATTGAGTCTAGAGTACTGAACGTATTGCACCGGTCGGAGAAGTCGGAGAAATCACTTTATGCATTTGATATGTCAGCATCTAAAAATTTGAATTGACATATCCATATTTTGCATGTCCACTCCGTCCCGATAGGTCGGAGCCAACTCCGACGAGGCCCAACCTAGCCCTTACCATTTGGATTGGACAAATCATTTTGTCAAGCCCGTACGATTGGTTGTCTAATGACAAAAAATGGATAATTGATGATCAATACCAAAACTAAAGCTAAAATTAAGTAGGGTCGGAGAATTGATGATATTCATCCATAACTAATAGCGCACCAGCTCAAAGCCCCGGTCATGGCGCACACGGACATATTTCTTAGCCTGCTTTAACATCAATGATGGTAGAGTAATCTCCGCTCAAACCCCTCGCCATCTAGAGGCCGTTAGGGTTTTGTCGCAGTTCAATCAATATTTAGCGATATTAAACCGTGTTTTTAGGGCAGGTAGACCAGACAATTAGCAACGGTTGGACGCGTTCTTGTACGCAGAGATGTGATAGAAGCGCTACGAACTTAAAGAGACGGGAGCAAGGTTTAATGTATAAAACCAGAGCATTAGTGTAAGCCTACGATTATTATTGACCAATCAGCGATTATGTAAAAAATTAAGCCAATAATTACGAATAAAATAACTGAAATTAAGATTATAAGACTAAAGTTAAGCATACAGCCGCATCGGCAGCAATCATAGGCATTCGCCCATTGACTGCAACATTCCTTGAAACGCGCGGGAGCTTATAGTAATTGCCACCACCGCTAAAGGGACCGAGTCGACACACTCTTAGTAACAATTGTAGCTTTGGGTCGATTAGCAGAGCTATGATGGGCTTCAACCTTTTTAGCCGAATTCCGATCTTACCATCGAGGTACTGCTTTATGTGGAAATCGTATCGGTGCCGCGCAGCTGCAGCCCAAGACATGATTTTACCGATGTACCTTTTGTTCTTGCATGACAGGTGATCGTGGTGTCTTGGTCAGGCGCTTGGTGGTGATAACCCAGCCTCGGAGGCTCAGCGATGTGCTCGTACGTCGCGTTCGAAAGTGAGGACTCCTGCTCTGAAAGCCTTAAAGGTCAAGATCGAGACGTCCTTTTAGCTATGGAGACCGTAGCAAGAATGGTCAAGGTCCGCACGGCGCGGACCTCGTTGCGGTCTCAACTTCAAAGATGGGTGGTACAAATGTATACTTGAAATTTGTAATGGCGGAGGTTTGCGTAGGCAAACGAATGTTGTGAAGTAGGTGCCGGAGGTATTGAGATGTTGTGGAGGTTAATGAACTGAAATGACAGCACTACATGTGACACGCATCCCGAATCGGTGCATTCAAACATCTAAGAGTACCGGTAGGTACGAAATCTGATTCGAGACGATTCACGTCGACCCGCATGAATCTGCTCCGCAATGGTGTTAAAGATTCGTGACGTGGGCTGTGTTTTGGGATTGGGGAGCTCATACCTGGGCATTCATAAAGTACAGCTCAAGGTGCAGCAACAATTTTGCGGTGTTCTGGCAACAGCTTTTTCAAACACTACAGCTTTTTTTATTATGGGTTGGGAACGCAATGAATACCGGCAAGCACAGACAATATTTTCGTTGGAGGGCATTCTACACGCTAAACAGCTTTATACAAATTTTCACAGAACAAAGTCGATAGACGATCGTATTACTCGAAGTAATTTGTAAACATTTCTGAACATATACCAGTGTGCTATAAGACCGGTGTGTGAGCTTAATATATCGATATACTGCGTGTCTGCCTTTATCAGTCATAGCCTATAAGCCTTAAATAATCGTTTCGTTGCTGGCTTGCTTTCAATTAAAAGCTTTGGCTACTTCCCTGAGAACAGCGCCATTTGTTTAAAATTTTCGGATTGCTCGCCTCACCTCATACTCAGTTAACGGGTCATCCACATCTTCTATATCGCAGGATTTCCGTTTTGTTGGCAAGTACTCACAAATTGAGCGATATATTCACCTAAGGTCCTTTACATTGAAGAGGGGTCTGCGAACGCGTTTGCGTGTCGCGCTTCTCGTCGACCTGTCCCCGTGAAGTATCATACTATGTACCAGTTCGAGCAAAGTAATGCTTGGTAGATTTTGACGGGTTTCATGCTGACGACGTTTTAAGGTACTTTCTATTTGTTGCGCTCCGATGTTGCTATGTGGTTTGCGCAGTAGATCGGATAACCATTTTTATTCGTCACTGCACATGATGTCTCGGTCACAGCACCTCGTGACTTTCCTTGATCCGATAAATCGTTTGGCGATATCAGATAGTTGTGTATCGCTTACTCTAATCAGCTTGATATTCTCTATTAGTAGCCGTAACTCGCTCTTGAACTTCTTCCATACTGCTATACTGTCTGCATCTGTAACATTTACTATCTGTGTAGGTACGTCCTGTGTTCGTTGTCTGTTCGTGCCATGTTTTTGCCGCCTGCAGGTAGGGTACGAGTGTTGCCCTTTTGTTTAGCAAACGGGACATGGAGGCGGGAGAAGCTCCAGCAGCACTCCTTAGTGGGCCGAATAGCACGGTTGGTTATCGAGGGATACACCCCTTGGTAGGCACCTGGCGTAAGCTGTCATATAACTGTAATTTAAGCGAGACGACCGCCATTCCCGGTCGACACCCTATTATCGATTCGAGAGACAATTACACCACGCCTTGAATGGGCTTACCGGTTAGAAGCCAACAACCGCCTTTAATTAAATTCTTGGTTTCAGACGGATTCGGTATGAACCATCATTACATATATATTAGGTTCACGTGTCTTGTCGGAGTTTCTAGTGAGCCAAAATGTGAACCTTCAACCCTTGGGCTCTCAGTTTCAAATAGCAGCTGTCCAATAGTTTCTCGAATAAGAGAACCTGTCAATAATTCGTGTTAAAAAGTCGCGGTTCTTGTCCTCTCGCATTTCAACCTCCGACCCCGAAAATACCCAGAACCAAGTTCCTGATTTTTTGGGGTTCTGAGTAATTATTAGAACCGTGGTTCTGGCTCGGTTCTTTTTAGGCATTTACCTGCGTATTCCTATATTGTAACCGTATTCCGTACGGTCAGGAAAGTTATTAGTCCCGCGTCTACAGGCTTTAAGCGTCCTTGCTCCGTTGGCTTCTCGTGTCGAGCTTCCTACCCTGTCAATTTATTCCGCCGTAACACAATTAAAGCCACCTCCAAGCGCCATTGGCATGCCTTCCAGAAAGCGGTTATATATTGCTGTGTGAGGAAACCTATCCGCCCAGCACCAGCTGAACAGGCATATCTTTTTGTATGGAGACATAAAAATAAGCGAAGGAAACGCTGTGCTGCGACGATGCCGTTGCTTTCGCACCAGAGGATGTCGTCAGACTCAAAACGTCTGTACTATCAAAGTACCTTATTTGAATGAAACTAATACAGCCCAAAACACAGAGCTCAAAGTTGTACTTAACACTAACAACTTTTGGCATCGCAATCAAAAGTGCTTTTTTCAAATAATCCAAATCGCTACCGAGCCCCGTGGCGTCCGCCCTAAGTGTCATGTGACCGACGCTGGCTGTCAGCGTCAGCTGCCCGAGGAGTTTCCGCCCTCTCCGTCGATTTGTGTCACCGCGAATACCGACGTCGTCACAGCAAACGCTCCATAAGGTCAAGCTTCAATCTCACGGAAGCCGCGTACGCCACCCAAAGAGACGTACCTTCAGCTTAAAGATCTCGAGGAGGAGCAGCGTGATACCAACGCAGCGATCCACGCTCAAACTCAACCTCCCCTTAAGGTCCGGCATCAGTGACCCTCGCTGCCTCAGCGGATTCAGCTTCAGGCGCAACAATTTGATCCCAGCACATTCAACCCCATACGCACACCGTGCAACGCCTCGCCCCTTTTGCCTCGGTACGATGAGACTGATCATTACGACCAGGCATCATTGACAGTGCCTTGTACGCGGCCCAATGCAAAGAAATGTACCAGCAACGTTCGTAACAGTCACTTCAATCCATGGTCCAGCTACTTACGCATCCATCGTAGCCGGACTATGGATACTTGCCCCGAGACCTGCCGTGCTGCTGAGCAGCACTAAACCACGTATGTTTGTGGGCCCGCGGCCGCTACCGCCGATGAGAAGGTGCAGCGACACAAGCTTGGTAATCGCTTCCTAACGCCATAAGCCACAACACTCTATAAGTTGCAGCGCAGCCAACGGTCCGCTCTTGCCATGCGCACAGCCCATATGGTGCTTTGACAAGGGAAGACACCGGGGGCTTATGAAGAAACAATTACGATCTCCGTTGAGCACACTCGACGGCTCCTCAGCTATCAGGCTCTATGCCTTGTTTCGCTAAATCTAACGTTCGTCTGGAGAGACGACTGTGCTTGGACTGATCTGAGTCGAAGGTGTGGCGTCAAAACCCGCGCTTTAATTTCCAACATATCGATGCCCCCCCCCCCGCCCCGCCCCCGCTGCGAGCTCGGCACCCGCTTAGAAGCCGGATGCTTCAGTCCCCTGTCAGAGCCTGGTCTTAGCTGCCAACATGAATTCTAAGATGGTCTTCGTTCGGCTTAGGCGATCTGAGCTCATCGTTCTCTTCTAAGAGAGATACTGCCGAAACACTCTCTTATCCATCCACCCTTGAGGGCCCGTACGATAGCAAACTCCGGGTACATCGTCCTTCACGCCGCGGATCGGATATTTGGCGTTCTTGCTAGTGAAGATCATCATTGGAGGCAAAATGCGTGCTCCAGGACCACCTGATATCCTCACGACCATCGTGATGCCCTCCCCGCCCGATACAACATCCTCGTACTTAACGTGCTTGTCGCCGACAAACGAGCGTCTTCTTGTTGTCGAAGTCGAATTTGACTCATTTGATCTTATATCCAGCAAACAACCTTCTCACGCTTTGAAATGGCTGTAGTAGCGGGTCTGCTTCAATGGCGCGGTGGCATAGAGGTCTTATCGGCTACGCTAGCCTCGTCACTCTTCTTTTTAGTTTTCGACTCTGAAGTCGCCGTTGCAGACACAGAATCCACCTTGTGACTGCAGGAAACGTGAGCCGGTACGCTCAAATGCAGCGATGATCGGAGATCCATCGCTGTGTACAATGGCATCTTGTTGAGTCTCAGAACGTGGGCAGAGTACAGGCTGCCCGTATCCCTCTTTCCGACGGGGGTGCCACGGTTAGTTGATCCTTCACTTCGGGCAGACGTGAACACCGCCAACCAAAGCGCCACACCCTGCACAAGGTTGTTCTGTAGTCAAGTCGCTCGTGAGTGCTGAGGGCGAGCGGTGATTGAAGTGTCGGTTTAGGAGCAAATTTGAGAATGATTGGTTTCAGAGCTAACCATTAGCAGGACTTACAGTTAGAATATAGGTTGAAATGTCACTGGACTTTACAGTGGCAGAGATAATTACTTTAAAAAAAATCATAGAATGAAGAAGGCTTAGACACAAGTACATGCAATCATATAATTTAGAGCCACAGCCAATTTGTACTTTTGCTCGTATTATAAATAGATACAGTGAAACCTTTTTTAGTACGAACATCAACGAACGGATGCCAATTATTGGGACAGAGCACTCCCTAGAGCATATATCACCATAGACCTAACTCTAAATGGGACAATTGACACCCGATGCACTTCTGCTGCGGAACTTGAGCTCACAATGCAGCGATTGGCTTGGGCGATCATCAACCACTGCACCATAAGCAAGCCCAATAGAGAGTACAAGATATCAACCACAACTGAGATTAATAACGGACTGTGAAAATTTTTGTTCGCGTGAATTATTCTCAACAAATTTGAGTGAGAATATATGGTGAATAAGATTATTTATCAGCTTCGATTAATTACCGTGACCACTGTACTGGTTGTACGGCAGCTACTAGCTTGCCACCGCCAACTCTAGCTGATTAATCACTTCTCAATTTGCCTTCGAGCAGC